AGCAGCGGGATACCCTCCAGCAGGTGAGCTGGGGGTCCTGGGCTGTGTGTGTGTGTCTGTCTGGTGCGGTCCTGGTCCCCTGCTAACAGGGCAGCGCTGGGGTTAGGAGCGCCTGCTGCTCTCAGTGCTGCCCCAGCATGTGGCCATGGAGATGAAGGAGGACATCAACACCAAGAAGGAGGACATGATGTTCCACAAGATCTACATCCAGAAGCACGACAATGTCAGGTACCGTGGGGCTGGGGGTGTGGGCTGGGGATAGGTGAGGTTTGGGGGGAGCTGTCACCAGGCGAGGGGGTTCGGGGTGATGTGTTGTCCCTCCCCAGCCCATGCTTTCCTCCTGGCAGCATCCTCTTTGCGGACATCGAGGGCTTCACCAGCCTGGCCTCACAGTGCACGGCCCAGGAGCTGGTGATGACGCTCAACGAGCTCTTTGCTCGCTTTGACAAACTGGCGGCGGTGAGTGGCAGGGCCAGGGGGTTTTTGTGGGGGGAGTCCTGGAGCCCCCCTGACCTGCCCATCTTCTCCAGGAGAACCACTGCCTGCGCATCAAGATCCTGGGGGACTGCTACTACTGCGTGTCGGGGCTGCCGGAGGCACGTGGGGACCACGCACACTGCTGCGTGGAGATGGGGGTTGACATGATCGAAGCCATCTCGTGAGTGGGGCAGAGCACAGAGGTCGCGCCCATCCCCAGTGCTGGCACATGCCTGGTGCCACTGCAACCCTGGGGGGCTGTGCCCAACCCCAGGGCTGGCATGTCCCCAGTGCCACCCCAATTTGGGGGGGGGCTGTGCCCATCCCTGATGCTGGCACATCCCCAGTGCTTGCTGGGGTGACGTGGTGCTGGTGCCATCCACAGGCTGGGGGGTGAGGTGACGGGGGTGAACGTGAACATGCGCGTGGGCATCCACAGCGGGCGGGTGCACTGTGGCGTCCTGGGGCTGCGCAAGTGGCAGTTCGATGTCTGGTCCAACGATGTGACTCTCGCCAATCACATGGAAGCGGGCGGCAAAGCCGGGTGAGCTGGGATGGGGGGCTGGCCTGGGGACTGAGGTCCCCCCAATCCCCAGGCGCATCCACATCACCTGGGCAACACTGCAGTACCTGAATGGGGACTATGAGGTGGAGCCGGGCCACGGGGGTGAGCGCAATGCCTACCTCAAGGAGCACAACATTGAGACTTTCCTTATCGTCGGCTGCAGCCAGAAGCGCGTGAGTCGGGGAACATGGTGGTGGTGGGGACATGGTGGAGGGGAGACACGGCCCCTCTCACAGCTGCATTGCCCCGCAGAAGGAGGAAAAAGCCATCCTGGCCAAGCTGCAGCGGGCTCGTGCCAACTCGACAGAAGGGCTGGTGCCGCGCTGGGTGCCCGAGCGCTCCTTCTCCCGCACCAAGGACTCCAAGGCCTTCCGGCAGATGGTGAGCAGCCTTGGGGTGGGGATGTTGGGAACAGGGAGCCCCCACTGTGGCAGTATCAGCTGCTCACCGCCTTTCTGTGGCTGCCATTAGGCTTCCTCATCCCTGCCCACAGCCCTCACCTGCTTCCTCCTGCGTGTCACAGCCCACTGCCTCGGGGAACCCCCAGGTCTCCCCCCATGCCTCAGCAGCCCTCAGGGATCCCTCCTACCGTCACCAACCCATGGGGATCCCCCGGTGGCCCCTCATCATCACCAACCCTCAGGGATCTCCCTTATCATCACCAGCCCATGGGGATGCTGAGGTGTACGCCCTGTCCTAAACAGTTCTTGGGGATCCTCCCTGTCCTCACTGGCCTTGGGGAACCCTCAGGGGTCCCCCATCCTCACTGGTGTCAGACATCCTCCTCCCTTTGCAGACCCTTGGGGACCCCCTCATCCTTGCCAGGCTTGGGGAATCCTTGGGAATCCACCCCATACTGGTTACCCCTGGGACTCTGTCCCCCATCCTTGGTGATCCCTGTCCTTGTCATCTATGGGGTCCCCCCATCAGTGCCAGTGTCCCTGACACCCCCCATCTCCCTTGTGTCTCCCCAGGGCATTGATGACTCCAGCAAGGACAAGTAAGTGTCCCCATGCTGGGGTGCCTGGCGGGGGTCACAGCCAGCCCCTCTCTGGGGCAGAGTCGGTGGCCTGGAGGGGTCCTGACCCACCTGTGCCCCCAGCCGTGGTGCCCAGGAGGCCCTCAACCCTGAGGATGAGGTGGATGAGTTCCTCAGCCGGGCCATTGACGCCCGCAGCATCGACCAGCTCCGAAAGGACCACGTCAAGAAGTTCCTGCTCACCTTCCAGACACCTGAGCTGGAGAAGAAGGTGGGGGTCCCTTTGTCTCAGCCCTGTGGTCTCCTCCATCCCCTGAAGTCCCCTCTGTCCTGGCCCCATCAGCACCTTTGTTCCACTCATCTCATTTCCATCCCCTGGGGTCCTCTCTGTTCCCCTTCATCCCATCCTCTCCATCCCTTGGGTCTTCCCTGTCCTTGCCTCATGGTGTCCTCCATTCCAGCCTCTGTGGTCGCCTCCACCCTACCCATCCCAGCCGTAGGTCACCTCTGACCCCTCTAATCTCTGGGGTACCCTCCATCCTGCTGGCTCCAAGGTCCCCTCTGTCCTGGCCCCTCTATTGTCTCCATCTCATTCCCTGGGGTCCCTTCTGTTCTCCTCCATCCCATCCGCCCCATCCCCCTGGGGTCCCCTCTGTCCCCTTCTGCCCAGCCCGGCTCACCCCTCTCCTCCCTGCAGTACTCCAAAAAGGTGGATGACCGCTTTGCTGGCTACGTGGCCTGCACCCTCCTCGTCTTCTGCTTCATCTGCTGCCTCCAGATCGTGGTGTTCCCCCAGTGAGTACTATGCTTCCC